AGGGAATCCAAGGCCGCTTTTATTTCTGCTAAGGTTGGTTCACTGTCCAGCTCTTCCAAGACAGGCAGGCACTCAATGTTATTTAATGCTTCTTCAGTTACTACATTCTCTCTGGAATATAGCTCAGAGTAGTGCTGCACCCAGCATTCCATCTGCTGTGCTCGGTCCTGGATGGGCACACCTGTAGCAGACTTCAAAGGAGCAGATTTCTTCTGCATTGGACCTAAGGCCTGCTAGAATATGTTGCAACTTAGATAAGATTTTTTTTTTCTGACGCTGATATAAACTAGAGATGGATAACTTTCTGATTCTACTGGGCATGTTTCATTTGTCCCATTTTTGTATCAGATTGAGATCCCCCTCTTCAAAAGGACAAACATTTACATGTTTTGTGTGCATTTCTCTTGATCTATGAAATTTTGTCTGTAATTTTGCTAGATATGCACATTTAAAAAAGTAATTTTCCCTAGCATAACTCCCTTTTGTACATTACGCACATTTGTGTGCACACAAACCCCTAATCTGTGCATTTTGTATACTTTTATGACTGGAGCACTGAATCATAACATTGGGAGACATGGGAACTTTGAAAGATAACTGCATTTCAGCTTGCATTTTGATATGAAATGAGAAAATTCTGCATTAAAATGCAAACTGAATAAACTAGTCCTCCTTTCCAGATGTGAGCCCTGATTAAAAAAATATTGGTTTGTGCTTAGAAAATGAGTCTTTAAAATACATAAAGGACAGAAAGACATTTTTTCTTTGTAAAATAATCTAATTGTGATCTTTATAAATTATTTTTAGTGGTCATAAATACCTCCATGATTAATACTTCATCAATAATTTGCAGAATTATCAGGCAATACAGTGATATAGATATATTCAATAACAGAATAAGATGATGACTGACTTTCCCCCCAATTTGTCAATAACATATTAATCTAAGTAGAACAGCCAAAAAGGCTATAGTAAATGAGCCACATAAAAACAAGCCAAGTTATATGAAGGTTTTTGTAGACGAACTACAACTCATTAACCTAAGGCTATTTTGCTGGTTTGTAATCTATCAAAACAGAAATTTCCCTCCTGGGACACAGAAGGCACAGAACCAGAATAAAGACCAAAATCACCATCCAAAATGCCTAGGCAGCTGTCCAAAGTGTTCTCCTTGCCCTCTTTTCCCTCTGTTTCATTAGAACTGTTGACTGCAGCAAATATGTCAAAGGTATATACCTCAAAGCAACACCTGCTTCATTGTGTTGGCCTTTAAAGGAATAACTATACAGAGGTCTGAAAAAAAAAAAAAACCTGCCTTGGAGCTCATTCAGAAATACACAAATATCCTGTTCCTTTCCAAAACTGGTACCTATCCCTAATGTCTGTGAGGGATGCTGCATTTGTCACCTGAACACCTTCATGCACAGAGGCCATTTGATTTTCAAGCAGCTGTTTTCTGAATCAATGACCAACAGGAGTCATATTGACTGATCAAAACTATCTTGAACGCTTCCATAATGTCTCAGTTCCAGAGACTGTCTCCATAGGAGTATTTCAAAGATTATGAGGTACGACTCTAAATTTAAACACAACAGCAGCCTGCTAAGAGGTATGCAGTTACAGTAAATTACAATTTCTGCAGTCCAACTAGTCGCGGAGCCGTGTACAACATCTACAAAGCTGCTCATCAGCTGCTCATTTCAAAAGTTAAATACTTACTACTTAAATACTTAATACTTTACTAGTAAACTACTAGTAAATTACTAGCAGTTTACTTTCAATAATGTAATGTCACTGTGTAGTTAACAGCTTCAGAATTTGAATTTGATATATAATACATTTTAAATTAGGCAAAATATTTTTGTTCCTTCATTTTTTATAGAAATGCAAGCATTTCTGTTATTAACTTGGGTTCTTTTACAGAATTCCTTTCTTGCTCTCTCTCTCTCTCTCTCTTTCTCCTTTTTTATTACAGAAGATCTAGGGAAATAACTTAGAATGGGGATGTTGCCTGATTACCTTACTGTAATGAGAATCATTTCCATCTACCTCCTTCCGCAATGACATGTGAGCCAAGCTTTAGTTACTCAAATTTTGGCAATAAATTCTTTCTTGAGCAATAGAAATGTAGAGCCAATACTCCCTGCTAATTATTGGATTTACCTCAGAGCAGTGGCATTCTGACTAGTGTGCACAGTATTCATTATACTGAATGCCCAAGTAGGACTAACTTACTGAATGCCAAGTTTCCAATATCTGTCCAGGTTACTGATACTAAAAATTTAACACTACCCTAACCAGTCTTAGGGCAGACAATGGCACAAGGTAAACAGTTCAGATCAGACCATTTTGGATATTCTGGCATTGATTCCTAGGAAATTGTTGTTCTTGCTTTTGTTTTAGAATATGCAGCAGAATGTGAACATTAGCCTGTAAATAAAAATAACCAGATGCTATACTTAGGGCTAAGTGCTGTTTGAAATCTCTTTATCACCTAGAAAGTATAAAAGCCCAGCTTTGCCTTCTGGCATGAGCGGCTTGCATTCTAACTGAAAACTTGAGCTGAATCAGTACAAAACAAAAACAGAAGAAAAGGTACCAACAGGGCGACTTTTTGAGTATTCCACAACTCTTAATCGTGCACAGATGGCATTAAATGGGGGTGGGAAAAGAGTCAGAAAACTCAGAAAACAGGACCAGATGTTTTGTCCATTGCTCTTGGAGGCAGACTTCCAAACAAAACAAAACAAAACAACCCAAGATGGACTCTGCTAATTTAAAGTGAGATGGAGGTGTCCAAGTGTCTGGTTACAACTTCTTCTCTTTCAACAGAGAAAATGCCTGTCTGGAACCTATGTAGATCTTCCAAGTTGCCTTTAGGAAGACACATTGGCCCCTTCAATGTCATCTGCCCAAGCCACCATATCCTCCCTGGCAACGTTCCTCCAAGTTACCACTCCGAAGGAGGCCCAGAAGTCTTCTACGAGGGGTTGGGCCTTCTTTGCAATGGCAATGACTCTGTAGAACCAGCTCCTCGTGGAGCTTATGCCTGCCCCCCTCCGTCCTAATATTCAGAAGAGAGCTCATGAGCAGAGTGAGGCAATATGAGTGGGAGTGGCTATTCTAGCACTGGCAGTCTTCATAGCTACTGTGCCCACACTGTTTTGGGACCTTGCAGAACAAAGATGTTTGTGATTGAGTGGACTCTGGAGAGCTGTGCACTAGCCATACAGCACCAGACAGCTGTCAGAATCAAGCCCATGGTTCACTTTACAGAGTTCACTTGGCTATTTCTCAGCAGCACAATTTATTTCAAATAGATTGCGTTCAGTAGGCTTCTACCATCTCTCTTTTCTAATGCTCTTCTTAACACACCATTCCTGTGCAGGGCAGACAATGGGGAAGCTGTTCCTATCACTGCAGTTTCTGTCTATGTATTTATTTATCTGTCTGTCAAAAATGCAGGATGGTGATCAGAACAATCCAGCCAAAATTATACAGTGGGTTAGATTTAAATGCTTGCTGAATTTTGAACTAAAATAAAGGGAGCTTAGAAATGCTTCTAAGCTAATTTGGAAACGTTTTTATTTTTATTGATATTCAGAAAATAAAAATAATTTCCAGAAAAGAATGGATTTTAAAAGAACTTTGACAATGGCTTAGTCCAACATTTCCAGGCAGTAGAATATTTTAGTAACAAGAGCAATCTACAGTCTAATATGATTTATAACATTGATAACCAGTGTCCTGTTCAGAATTCTTCAAGGATGCTTCCTGCAATACATAGGATTCTTGAGGGCTTCCAAAGTGTCTTGAAGGAAGCAGTATGAGCAGAACCAGATGTGCTCTCACACAACACTCTTCTCTCTATTGACGATTATGTGTATCTAATGAGAAATTGCAAGAATGCCACATTTCAATTTGTAACTGTGGGATTTACTAACTTTATGAAAATGTTTTTTTGTATCAAGAGAACACTTGAATGTTAATCTCACAAAAATCCTAATCTGCTGTAAATAAAAACACAGAAATATATTAGAAAGAGTGTCTATTACAAATTTGATATGTTTTTACTAAATGTTGGATCCATAAGAAAAGATTCAGCAGTTAGAAATATCACTTATTATATTGACAAGATTAAGCTCATGTTTAAGGTTCTTCCATAGAAATCAGCAGGAAGTATGAGATCTCATCAGATTTTGTCAACTGGAGTGAACATGGTTTTTTTAACTGAAAACTTCCTGCAATACTTATAAAATCTCTCCTTACCCTATAGTGGTTCTTTTAAAGGCTGGTATCATGTCTTGGTATCTCTTTCAGCTCAACACTCCAACACACCATGTTGGGAATACTGAACAGGCCACTGTTGAGGTATTACAAGAAAAAGTGAATTAAATGCATCTGGGGAGCTACAAACTCTTGTTGAATGGATGACTTGACAGCGCACTGAATTGAGAGGAAATGGATGCTACATGCCAGCAGTCACCGCAGCAAAACATCAGTGGGAACTGAAGATATAACGGATATGTTATATATATCAGTGACTTAGGCATCTGGTTGTGGAGTCAGAAGCTGGTAATTCAGTTGCCACTGTGTAGCCCAAAAGAGAATAGTAAACTACTTCTGAGTACTTTTTACTTAGAAAACCCTGAAAAGGGCCACTGTAAGTCAAAATGAACAGCATACTATTATCTTTCTATCTGTCTATCTATCTGTCTATCTATCTGTCTATCTATCTATCTGTCTATCTATCTATCTATCTATCTATCTATCTATCTATCTATCTATCTGTGGGTATAAATAGATAGATGGCTATGTAGTTATAGGATTTTGGCTGCTGTAGTCCTACGAAAAGTAACCATCCAAGCACTGTTGTGCATCTCATTCTGTAATGCAATATAAGGTCATAGCAGTGAAACAAATCAGCATTTGATGGACATGGAGTTTTTAAATGGATTTATATTCAGAAAAAATGGAAGCAAAATATGGAAATGAATTTTGGAGGGGGCAGTCCTGCTACATTGGATTGACACTGAGTTTGAAATATCCATATTTCGTAGACAAAGAAGTACCTTTCGCGATTGTTGCGAAAGACAACAAACAGTCTTGCAACACCTTAACAATGGCCAAGTTTTATTTGCTGTGAATTTTTCTGGACAGACGTACTTTTCCACCAGCTGTATGGCACATTGCCTCATTTATTATATACACATTTCGTTGGGAGAATGTAGTTAGTTGGTGGGGTGTAAGAGCAAGAAAAGGCAAAAAGTACAGACATTGGTCATTATTTTAAACGTGATAATGAAGGAACAGTAGTTGGGAGGTGGTAGGGACGTGGTGGCGCTGTGGGCTAAACCACAGAAGCCTGTGCTGCAGGGTCAGAAGACCAGCAGTCGTAAGATCGAATCCACGTGACAGAGTGAGCTCCCGTTGCTTTGTCCCAGCTCCTCGCCAACCTAGCAGTTCGAAAGCATGCAAATGTGAGTAGATAAATAGGTACCACCTTGGTGGGAAGGTAAAACGGCGTTCCCTAGTCACGTTGGCCATGTGGCAATGGAAACTGTTTTCGGACAAGTGCTGGCTCTACGGCTTGAAAACGGAATGAGCACCGCCCCCTAGAGTCGGACACGACTGGACTAAAAATGTCAAGGGGAACCTTTACCTTTACTTAGAGTCATCATAGAATATGTCTTGCAATGAAAAGTCAAGTGGGCCGAAAAAAGTTGAACTAGAATATTTTCTAATAATAATAAAATAGTGCACCTGTATCTCAGATAGAAGTCACACATATTTTCCTTGGGATTCCTTCAGTTAAGACTTCAGTTTCTCTTAATATTCTGAAAATCAGACAGCAGTGTGTCATTTTTGGGTGGTTCCCGTGGCTTTCTTCTGGATCGTTATGGTTCTTTTTGCATCAGTAGAACCCGGTGGCAAAAAAAAAAAAAAATATGATAGTGATCACCAGAAAACTCTACAATCATTTATTTACTAACATGCAACCACAATTTAGTATATATACTGACTGGTCTAAGGTACCCAAATAAGCTTTATGACTAGACACAGAGACAAATTTTAAAAAGAATCACAATATTCATGAAATATTGCTTATTTGTGGGATATTTGTCCCTTCGCATTCATCAGGTCCAGAGACCCTGATAAACATGAAGGGATGAATATTTATTTACCAATTATTATTCAACCCTTCGTGTAGGCTGGCTGCGGGAATGGAAGCAGGGTTTGCATTCCTGAAGCTAGCCTGCTTGTCAATGTTCTTGTCAATAATCGGGACATTGACAAGCAGGCTGGCTGTGACATGGCAAGCCCCAGTTTCAGTTCCTGCAACCAGCCTGATTGTCTGTGACCTGATGATCAGCTGATGGTCAGGTCACTGACAAGCAGGCTGGCTGATGAAAGACAAACCCCAGGTTCAGTTCCCACAGTCAACTTACTTGTTAAGAACTCAACCATCAGCTGATGATTCAGTCATTGTCAAGCAAGCTGGCTGCGGGAACTGAGCCTAGGATTTGCCTTCCCACAGCCAGCCTGCTTGTCAATGTCCCACCGATCAGCTGTTCAGCAGGACATTGTCTTTTAATGATGGATCAACGAATATTCATAGATTCATCACTAAAAATTGATGTTTTGTCACTTTGTCCATTTGTCAACTTTGATTAATGATGAATTTTGACAAAGCACCTTTTAAAAAAACTTCATCCCCATCTTTATTTATGACCAAGCAGAGATTTGAACTCAAATCTTTTTATTCTAAAATCCAGAACTATGATGAGTGTGCAATACTGACTTTCTTGATCTATGCCTCCTGTGCAGACAGTGTCAAGGATGAAATATATTGGTTTCAAAAAATGCAATAATTAACATTCCTCATTTGCATAATATGTAAATTAGGCTGCCTAGATTCTCCAACCCAGAATATGGCATCCTTATCTTATACACAAATGTGAAATGTTCATTCTACATGCTGAGTATTCCAAGGTGCAGGATCAATTGCAGGGATAAAGGAATTTTACAAAATGAACATTTTTGTATCCTTACCTATCCCCCACTAAGAGGAGGAATGAGATACAGGCGCAATTATGCTTAGTGCAGACCCACTGACACAATTGATCTAACCAGCTACTTCTAGAAGCAAATTTTCTTTGCCCTTCAGAGATAACTCAATGTTGACCTGGTCAACAACTAATTATTCAAGATATGGCTGAGATATTTATGTAATCAATATTCTTAAACCATTATTTTTGTTATTAATGCTATTGTGACTTGGAAATTTCATTTTTTTATGAACTTGCATTCCCCTTCTCTGGCTTTTCTCCCCCACAAATTATACTTACATATAAAACATGTGGCTAAATATTTAACTCCATGGTCAGAATATGCACTGGCGATAATGGCATTGGTGTAATTTTCAGCAGTAAATTATCACAAATTAAGAAGTTGGGGTAGATATTGCCTATCTTACACCAGTCATGCGACTTACTGTACATTGGGCAGTGCCAGTGCTGGCTCCTTAACTGACAGTGTTTTGCTGCTTAAAGTTATGTTGATAGCATGACCTTGCAAGAAATAAACAAAAAGATCCCAGCCATTGTGTTTGAGAAAATGGATTGTGATCTGTGAAAGCTCACTGTGAAATAAATCAGCAAGTCTTTAAGGTGCCCCAACATCTTCTTTTTAATTGTTTATTTTTGTTTATACATGCTGAAATGGACTATTGTCGCTACCTTTTTCAAAACTTGTTCTAAGTGTGACTGATTCCTGGATCCAATCCACTGTGGTTATGTATCTGAAGCCAAGTAAGGTTAGTTTGAGGAAATTCACAAAACTGGAGAGATAAGAATTAGAACCTGTGATTGTTATCATCATTGATACGAATCCTGTGATTGTGGATTGGAAGCTAGAAGCCCAAAAATAGAATCAAAATTGTTTTTAGGGAGTATCAGAAAGGAGAGCCTTTTAATCAAGTGCAATGCATTCAGCTAAATTGGGGAGGGGGAAAATCAATCTCATTGGAATCCAAAACAGGTTTCCCAGATGTATTTCCTCTAAGTGCCTATTCAAGATTGTGATTTGCCAACAAAAATAGTCCCCACCCCTTCCCTCTCTTCTCTGCCACACATGAATATAAGACATTATCCTTAATTGAAAACTGCAGTCAGGAAAGCAATCAGGCTGACGCGGCTAATAACAGGCGTGCCTATTAAAGTATCATTATAGGCCAAATTAAAATTGCATTCCTTTTCTAAATATGAAAGCTGCTATTGTTACAGAATGTGAGTTGCTTCTCAATAAGAATTTGAGAAGGAGGAAATAGGGGAATCAAAGCTTTTATACTTGTAGCCTCTATTGGGAGCCTTAAATCTAATAGAAATATTTCAGATTGATGGCGATTGTTATGGCTTTTATTTCCCTTTAAATCAGTGGCAGAAAGTTAAGACAAAGCGGTAGTTAAGGCCCCTTTCCCTCCTACTGCGAGAAATATACTTTGCGCTCAGAATCAGAAGATGGAAATCTTTTCTTCCAGTGTTTAGGTGCTGAAAATCCTAATGCAGCTGGGTCTTCCAGGTTTCTGGACTGTTGCTGTAGGGATGATGCTGTAGCTGAATGGCAGAGAATGAATACTCTATGAAAAAGTCCCTACATTCTGACCCTGTCATTCTAATAAAAAAAAAAATCAGGCACAAAATGCCTTATTTCAAAGAATAAAGCAGGACTGCTCGGCAGATTGTTACTGGAAAACAGGGGTGATGAAGCTGAGAGATCACAGAGCCCATTCTCCTAACGCTACCTTACCTCTGACATCATCAACCATTGCTCTCTCCCAAATGTTGACTCCCCCTTTGCCATTCAGAATGTCACAGTTAACTCTTTTGTTGCCTCTAATACCAGTAACAGATGATACAGATAGAAGGGGATGGGCAGGATCCTGCTGCTGTCTTGGTTCTGGGAAGGATGGGCTGGGAAATTCTGCCATTAGCATCAGTCACACATTGGAGATAACAGTAGCATTGCTTCCCGTACAACTTGCCCTCCCATTTGGAACGTGTCAGTGTGGCATCCAGCCAGGTCATGAATATTCATGTGCTATCCGCATAGACCAATGGGTGTGCTGGAGGGGCAGAGTCACAAGATATAAGAGACTCAGGAGGAGGGGAAGTTTAGTCAGGGAGATTGAGAATTTAGAGAGCATTGAAGAGTTTTGGGAGTTTGGACAGAGAGAGTTGAAGAGTTTTGGGAGTTTGGAAGGGAGAGTGATGGTGGAGAGTGAAATGAAGGAGGATGTTTGTTAAGAGCTAACAACATTGCTTGAACTGTCATCATCTGTAACAATACACAGTTTATATTTGGTTCTTTTAAAAATGACATATGGCTTGGACATTCTTCATTAATAATAGATAATGTTGATATAATCAATTGGTGGCAGCTGAAAGACATGTAGCATGAGCTCTTAGTTTGGTGACACAAGCAGGGGTCACGTGGGAATCATGACAGTGAGGCACTTAGAGCATTCCCCAAACTCTGGGGGACTGGAGCTTTCCTGGGGGGCAGAAGGGCATCCCCAGGCAACTAGCAGGAGACATGTACGTTCATTGTACAGCTAAGCAGTAATGCCAATAAAGGTTTCTGTATGTAATGTTGTACAGCTAAGCATAATATCATTAAAAGTATACAATTAAAAGAGCACATGGAGAACATTATCTAGAAATGCAACTGACGACATGCAGAAAAAGAGAAAGAAAGTGATACAGAGGGACAGATAAGAAAGACAGACAGGACTCTAGGGAAGGAAAGGTAAAAAGAAAGAAAATGAGATGACAGTATAACTTTAGGGATTTTTTTAAAAAAAGTAAGCAGAATATTGAAAAGGAACAGAGTATATTGCAAAATTCATGATTTATGCAATTTCCAGTAAACCTCAATATATATGACTTCACAATGTACAGAAAAGGACACCTATTCCCTGACCTTTGGAGTCTCCAGTGCTTGCCTCCGCTATGGCTTCTTTTTCTCCTTTGTTTGCTTGAAGTAACCTCTGAGACACCAGGACTCTGCTAAGTAAAACAGTCTCCAAATCGGCATTGGTCTGAAGCTCTGTTTGGTCATTCAAGAGGTGTGTTTACTTAACACGTAAAGCCTTCATACCTTTGGACTCTCTCTACATGAGTCAGAGTCCCGATTTTCCATGGTTCCAACCTATGAGGGGACAGCTGTCAGGGTAATGGAGGCAATCCATTTCAGAGACTGTTGCTGTCCATATTTAGTACATGATGGAATGACAAGGGAGCAGGGAGGAGCTACCATGCAGAGACATCGGTAGGTCTTTGGGTCTGAGTCTCAAGTCTGAGTTTGAGTCTTTGATATCAAGTCCAGAGTCCCAGGCCCCAAGTCCGAGTCCCTTATTAAAAATATGGTTTTCTCCCCCCAGAAAAAAAGGGAAAGGGTGGATGGTTTCTGAGTTGCAAGTCGAGTTTGAGTCACTGAAAAAAAATAAACAAACCCCAAGTTGAGTGCAACTTAAATCCAACTTGACAGTGAGTCCCATGACTCAAGTTCCTATCCCTGCTAGCATGTTTCCCCTTTCCACGTGTTAAGTAAACACACCTCCTGAATGACTGAACAGAGCTTCGGACCAATGCCAAATTGGAGACTGTTTCGCTTACCAGATTGCTGGCGTCTCAGAGGTTACTCTGAGAGGAAAAGGAGGAAAAGAAACCCTAATGGAGGCAAGCACTGAAGACTCCAAAGGTCAGGGATAGAGATGGGGATGAATAAAAAACATGGCAATTTGTTTTGATCCATTATTTGTCAAGGTTAACAGATCAACAAATACGAATATACGAATATTCTTTGACGAATTGATGGATTGATCTGTTGATTCATCTGCACTTTAAATGGCTGTAACACTGGCCCCCAACCACCTAGAGATACCAAATTTGCATGGAAGCTTCCTCAGACACATTTCTACTAGTCCTGAAAGATTGGTGAACATTGGATCATGGACCCCTGTGTTATATCATCACAAAGAGGACCCCACCCAAAAAAGCTCCCCCCAGGTACTTAGAGAATCCAGAATTAAAATGGAGCTTCTTATGCCTTTCACCAACACACCTGCCAACTTTGGTGAAGATTGGCAGAAGCTGATAAGCATCCACCCCACAGCCAGCTACCCCAACAGCCTAACCCCGCACCCCCTTCCTTTCCCTACCGTAGCTCCTACCCCACTCCCACCGACACCCCCTTAACTTAATAGCTGCTGCTGAGGTCTCCATCAGGACTCCACAGCCACAGTGTGTAAAAAGGGAGCCGGGCTGGCTTTAGCAAAGATGGTGGCTGTGGCTTCATTTAGGGCAGGGAAGCTGCAGCTGCCATCTTTGCAAAGGGCAGCCTGCTTTCCGTTTACATGTGCGTCTGCAAGGCTAGAAGACCTTGGCAGCTGCAGTTAAATTAAGAGGGTGTCAGTGGGGGTGGTGTGGCATGGCGTGGAGCCTAAGGTAGGGAAAGAAAGGTGGTGTGGGTAGGCTGTGGTATTGGGTGGCTGTGTGGGGTGGCTGCCTTTCTGCCACTGATCAGCTGATCGGCGGCCGGTAGGCAGAATGGGTTTTTTTGTTTTTGTTTTTAATATGAAGAACAAATAAAAATGGGTAAATATTCATCCCTTCATATTCCTGGGAGTCTCTGGAACCCACAATTACAGATCGACAAATATTTAACGAATCGGCTTTTTTCGTCGGAGAAACTGATCTGCTTTTATATTCGTCCCCATCTCTAGTCAGGGAATAGGTGCCCTTTTCTGTACATTGTGAAGTCATATTATATTGAGGTTTACTAGAAATTGCATAAATCATGACTTTTGCGATATACCTTGTTCCTTTTCAGTATTCTGCCTACTTTTTTAAAAAAAAAATCCCTAAAGTTATGATGTCATCTCATTTTCTTTCTTTTTACCCTTTCTTCCCTGGAGTCCTATCTGTCTTTCTTATCTGTCCCTCTGTATCTCTTTCTTTCTCTTTTTCTGCATGTCGTCAGTTGCATTTCTAGATAATGTTCTCCATGTGCCCTTTTAATTACATACATTTAATGACATTAATCCTAGCTGTACAGTGAATGCACATGACTCCTTTAGTGGCCTGGGCGTGCCCTTCTGCCCCTCAGGAAAGCTCCAGTCCCCCACAGATGGAGAAATGCCCTAAGAAAAGTTTTCACCACAAAACTGTAGACATTTTCTTGCAACATGCCTGACCATCCTTGGCTATCTAACCCCTTTTAAAAACATCCCAATGAAGCAGAGTCCAACATCTTCAAGGTAGTGTGTTCTAGCATTACAGTTCCTGTTGCCAGGAACTTCTATGTTTAGCTGAAATGTATTGACTTGTAATTTGGATCCATTCGTTTGGGTTCTACCATCTCATCACATCTCATCTTATATAGTCAAATTCACATAGTCCGTGTGGTTAAATATTCTGGAGTATTATTTAATATTCCTGCCTTTAAAGTGCATGGCTAAAACATTTAACAGTTTAACCTAATTTAGTTTTCTGTTCAACTCTTTTTTCAAATATATAATTCAAATATACTCTCTTCAATTACTAGGCATAATGGAGTTTTTGTTCACTGCCATTAAACCTCGTATTTAAAACATGAAGGCTAACCAAGAATCAATATAGCAAAAAGAAAATCGTGGGCAGGCCAACCCTTCTTAAAGGAATCAGTTCTAATGCTGGCCATGAAATTCTTCCCTCCAGCTCATTTACTCTGTTCAGAGAAAGCTCCAGAATTGTCTACACTTCTAGGAGTGAACTTGCCCTTTTTAAAGGAGACTTGTTAAATATTATTAGCTGTATTGGTCTGGAGGAGGCCACAGCTAAATTATTACCTGGAAGACTGGAAGGTCTGCTATAATGGCATGACAAATCTGTACCTGCAGGGTATTGTTGCCGCCTAGAGTGCTGATTGTAATAAATAAATAAATATTTATATTTATATAAATGTGTATATTCCTCCTTGAAAATCCACGTAATACTTCCAATATAATTTCAAATTTTAAATTACAAACATCAAAAAATGAGCACAGTTGAGAAAACGGGTGCAACCATGCTTTAGTCAATGGGGGTAATAAGGACTGCCACTCAAATCTGTGAATAAATATACAGAGAAGGAAAAGGTCTTGAAACACCAATACATTTTTATGCAAATAAAAAAACCAGAACAAAATAAAGGTCGCTTAACATAACACAATGCTACTGGAGCTGACTTATCCAGTCACTACTGGCCCTACTGTAGTTGTGAATTACTATGCTAAGCAATGAGATTTCAACCAAAATCTCACAATCTTGATTCTGGTAATAAAACACTGATGGGAAGAAAAAGCAGGTGCAGTTCACACGAAGACAACAAAATGAAGACATCCAAAATTGGCCCTGTTCAACTGTGTGCCCAAGGTAGGTGCCTAGGTCTCCACACCCTAAAGCTGGCCTTGGAAGGGGTCTATAAGAAATTGTTTCGCCTCTTAAGGCTTAACAATTAAGAGATATTCCATAGTTGTTGTGGGGTTTTTGGGCTCTTTGGCCGTGTTCTGAGGGTTGTTCTTCCAAACATTTCATATACACCCACAACAAGACACACTAATCAGCCATCCCCTGAATAGGACAAAAGCCTATCTCACAGCCATAAATACTCCACTCCCAAGCAAACAACACCAGAGCACAGAGTGCTGTCCTCTGAAGATGCCGGCCACAGAGACTGGCAATATGTTAGGAGGACCACCTTCAGAACACGGCCAAAGAGCCTGAAAAACCCACAACAACCATTAGATCCCGGTCATGAAAGCCTTTGCGAATACGTACTGTAGATATTCCATAGTTTGAGTTTATTTACTCCAAAAGCTACACCTTTCACATAGTAGTGTAACACGATTTCAACAAGTGTTATTTTCATTTCCCCCCCCTTACTTTATTCATAGCCTGCCTTTCTCCTAATGAAGGCACTCATGGCATCAAACAATAGCTTTTTTAAAATTCATATTTTAAATGAATTAATTAAGATATTACTATTACAATATAATTAAACCAACGTTCTGAGAAATTTGCTTCAGAATGGTGTCTTTCCATAGAATTACTGGGAGGATTGCCAACCGAGTCCTTTATAGACTTACTCATCTGAGTTCCACTGAGTCCAGATGGTCCAATAATATACCCATTTACTTGGACGTAAGTCCCACAGGACTCAGGTATGACTAAACAAGTACAGGATTCTGCAGTAAATAATATCTAAACAAACATTGCTTTTTAATACTGCATATTTAAAATAAAACAAAAATGTATTTATAGGCATATTCTAACAGTTTTAAAATCTGTATGTATATGTATCTATATTTATGCCTCTTTAGCTTTGCAAAATAAATAATAATGAAAAAGCACGATGTTTGCTGATAAAACATGTTCACCCCATTTTCTTCATTGCTTGCCTAGATTTTCCAGGCTATTCACATGCATGGAGAGTCTATTATGGAACTTGATTATCTTATGTATCAAAGTGACAGATCTACAGCCTTGGCGACAACATTACAGCTCACCAGCACTAAGGGGCAATTAATCCCTTATGAATCAGAGGAGAGTTACCAGATTATGACAGGCCTTGGAAGTCAGTCAACTCCCCTTAAATGAGGCCACTAGACTGTTAAGGAGAGTACTGGTCTGCATTATAAGCAGCAGCAAACTGTAAATCAAGCATGGGTTGAGCGGGGGCAGGAATGAAAATAAAATAGCCAAAAGGTATATGTCACAATGATTCACTTCATATTTTGAGACTCTTTCAAGATAAAAGAAATTCTGTCTTTTCTGCTCCTGAAAACTCCCTTGGTTCTACAAAATTGTGGTTCACCTATGGCTATGAAGTTTTTCGGCCCACAAGCAATAAATAAAAGATTAGAGACAGTTATAGAGGTTCAGCAGGCAACAAATTTTTAAAAAATTATTTATATACAAGAGAGGACTTCTGTGCCAAACCATTTTCTGCTTAATTAACTCCTGCTGCTCAATGAACCCTTAATTAACTCCCACCCTTACAA